TTTGTTGAGTTGAGGATCTTGAGGATTTGGGGATTTCGTGATTTGAAAATTTCGAAAATAGACTTAGTGATTTAGTGATTTGGAAATTTCGAGGATTTGTAGACTTGAAGATTTGGTTTGCTGATATGAGGATCTGAGACTCTGAGGATTTGTTGATTTGAGGATTTCGAGGATTTGATGATTTGAGGTTTGACGAATTGGTAATTTAAAGGTTTGTTGATTTGAGAATTTGAGGATTTGGTTATTTGAGGACTTCAAGAATTTGAGGATAAGAGGATTTAATGATTTGAAGATTTCGAAGATTTGTGGAATTGAGGATGAAGATTTGAGAATTTGGTAATTTGAGGATTTGATGATTTCGAGAATTAGAGGATTTGGTAATTTGAAGATTTGAGGATTTGGTGATTTGATGATTTCGAAGATTTGAAGATTTGATGACTTGACAAAGTGAAAATTTTCAGGATTTGGTGATTTGAGGATTTGATGATTTGAAGATTTGGTGATTTGAGGATTTAGTAATTTGGGGATTTGAGGATTTAGTGATTCGAGTATTTCGAAGATTTGTGAATTGAGGATGAAGTGTCGAGGATTTGGGAATTTAGTAACTCGAGAACTTTGATGATTGGAGGATTTGGTGTTTCAGCATTTGAGGATTTGGTAATTTAAGTATTTGAGGATTTCAAGAATTTGAGGAAACGAGAATTTAGTGATTTGAGGATTTCGAAGATTTGAGGAATTGAAGATGAAGATTTGAGGATTTGATGATTTGGAGATTTGAAAATTTGAAGATTTGGGGTTTTGAGGAATCTGAAGATTTGAGATTGTGGTGATTTGCAAATTTCGAGGATTTGAAGAATTAAATATTTAGTGATTTGAGAATCTAAGGATTTGATGACTTCAGCATTTGGTGATTTGAGCAATTTGAGAATTTGGTGATTTGAGGATTTCGAAAATCTAGGATACGAATATTTGAGGAATAGGGGATCTTAAGGATTTGAAGAGAAGATCTGACAATTTGGTGATTTGGAGGACTTGGTGATTTGAAGCTTTTGAGAATTTAAGCATCTCGAGGATGTATTTGATGATTTGGAGATTCGAGGATTTGACGATTAGAGGATTTCGAAGAAACATTTGAGGATTTATTCAGTTGAGAATTTTGAGGATTTCAGGATTTGGTGATTTGAAAATTTCGGGGATAGTTTTAATGATTTGATGATTAGGGGATTTCGAGGATTTGAAGATTTGAATTTTTAATGATTTGGTGATTTAAGGATTTGGGGATTTGAGGATTTGGTGATTTGAGGACTTGAAATTTGGTGATTTGAAGACTTCAAAGATTTGAGGATTTGGGGATTTGATGTCTGAAAGAGGTAATTAGCAGGTTTGTTGACTTGAGAAATTAAGGATTTGTTGATTTGAGAATCTGAGGATTTGAGCATTTGATCATTTGAGGAATTTGAGAATTCGGTGATTTGAGAATTTCGAAAATTGAGGATTTGAAAATTTGAGGATATGAATATGTATTTGAAGATTTGGGGATCTTAAGCATTTAAAGATCTGAGGATATGGTGAGTTGGAGGACTTGGTGATTTGAAGATTTTGAGGATTTAAGCATCTCGAGGATGATTTGGTGATTTGAAGATTCGAGGATTTGACGATTGGAGGATTTCGAAGAAGCATTTGATGACTTGAGATTTGGTGATTTGAAGACTTCGAGGATTTGAGGATTTCAAGAAACTGGAGATAAGAGGATTTAGTGATTTGAGTATTTCGAAGATTTGAAGAATTGAGGATGAAGATTCGAGAATTTGAGCATTTGATGATTTGAGGATTCTATGATTTGGGGATTTGGTGATTTGAGGATTTGGTGATTATTTCGTTTATTTTTCATTTTAATTTTTAGTTGTTTTTTCTTTTTGTTCTAAATAAAATCTTCAAAATCTTCCTTAGTGTACTTTTTGTTTACTTGATTGGTTTTTGGTTTCTTTGTTAAAGCACAGATGTTCGTTTACTTTTTTGTTTTTTTTTTTATAATATGTATATAATTCTATCTATAGATTTTTTGTCAAGGTATAGCCACTTTTCAGAACTTATTCGTTTTTGTTTTTTAACGTTCCACCCATTTCTTTTTCCACGTCTCTAGTTTTTTTGAAAAAAAGATTTCTCTATTTATCTTCCTTTTTCTTCTTTTAGTTAGTTCTATATCTTTCAAAATTTTCTGTGGCTAGATTTCTATATTAATATATTTCTAGACATTTTATAATACATATAATTCTTTCAGAGAGAATAAACAGGTCACAGTTTTAGAAGCTCGTCGCTGGTTTACCAGCCGGCGCTGATGTTATTCCATTTAAACCCCATGACGGAAGTCCGGAGCACTTATTCAGGATGAAACGAGACATCTGGAGCTCCCAGAATATACATAGTATTGTTCTATATTTTATTTCTGTCCATAAAATCGCTATTTTAACCCGTTAGAGGCAATAAACGAATTTACAGGTCATTGTTTTACAGCTGAAAATACATTACTGAACATGGTGAATGTTTTACATGCACTCGAGATACATACACGATTTTTTCTACAACAATTAATTATGAAACTAATGTTTTTTTACTAATTAACTTTTTATTATCAATGTGAACCCGCGAGAAATAATACGCGTATTGCATAACCGACTTTATTATCTGTTAATTTTCAAACCCAATAATTATTGTTTTCGCTCGTTATAAAAGCCGCTTTTTGCTAGGAAACGTGAACTTGAAACGTCAGTTTCGTCAAACCACATGGTTTGCATATCCGACTCTAAAAACATCCTTGATTTTTTTCCAAAAAAAAATTCAACAAACAAATTCATCCAACTCGTGTGAAACATTTCCTCTCCGTACACAACAAAACCCAAACCGACTAAACTAACTGTTCACTATTTAAACAAACAAAAAAGCACTTGCGGTTTGTAAGTTTAACGACACGATAATTGTCATAATAAGACCTGCAATTACACTTGTTGATGTCCGCAAGTGAGCCAAAACTACTTTCCTTCAGTGCGAGAATGCCCGGATCCTTGCAGCGAGGCTAGAACTGCACATGCTCAGTGGACAACAAGCCACATTTTGATAAAACAAAGAATAAAGAGGAGATTGTGGGGGTTAGGTACACAATGGTGTATTGTTTACGAGTTTTACTAACAAAGCGTGAAAAAGGAAACAGGACTTTCGGTGTTTTTCTAACTGTAAATGAAAATATAAGCGTTATGGGTTTATTACGCAACGAGTGATAAAAGGAGGTCGTTTGCAGTTCGCGTGCATTTTAATCGTAAGAGAGAGGACAAGATGCGGGAAATTGGGTTACGTAGAGGACAAGGGGCCACTTTGGTCTATTGAGAACCTGTTAGTGCGACCTTTTATCTGATATTGTGATAAGAGATAACACTAAGTAACGATGATTTATTGTCTAATCAGACTACGAGTTATCGTTTATCATTTATTATTTATTGTAATGTAACGATTGCATGGTCGACAACAGAAAAACAGAGCCGTACTTGTGGTCGCTATTAACGACAACTTGTTTAAATGCAGTTTCCAAATATGGCAACGTCGACATTTTTACTCAGCTTTCTATAATCCATCACTTATGTCAAACCCGCTTTGGCCTTTTCTGGCAAGCTGTAAATAATGCAGTTATCTGGTTTCTACTGGGTCATTGCTGTTGCAACTGTAAATAAGGTTAATAAAGTGACTGGGCGGACTCGAATATCAACATTATTCGCTTCAAAATTATAAAACTAGTTCAAACATTTGAAAAATTTTCATAATTAAGACCGTAATTATACCATCATTAGTACCCACATGACGTTTCAAGGATTCAGGAGTGAAGCGTCTGCCCACGACTCTGTCAAATCAACTAAGTGTACTTTAAAAGATGGGAAAAATGGGACGACACACCTCCGAATTTACCACGGTCATGAGTCTTAATTTCTTGGTTTTAATGTTTCATTCATACGGAGAAATAATCCATTGTTCTTACTATTCAGTGATTTCACTTCTGCGTCAGTACAATGATTCAATTAATTCAGAGGTCAGATTACCGAATTAAAACTAGATTAAAACTAGATGAAACTAGATCAAGCAGGCGAAGAATGCACAAGAAGTTTTATCAGTGGACAAAAAAATATATTTTTAAATGTAACTGGGTCGATTTTGTTGGTTACCTCAAATCGGTTTTTATTTGACACTGTATAAAAATTCACTGCAATAAAGGAAGAATTAACACAAAAACATTTATAGAATACTCGGCTCTTTTTGGTCGATCAAGGTGTTCTTCTCAAAATATTTGCACTCCATAAGCTTAATTTCGTATTAATTTGTTGTCTAAATTTTCACCTATAAAAATACACTATGCCAAATCAAGGTGCTTTCATAGTCTTTAAAAATACTAGGAGTCGCCAAGATTCTTTCACATTCTTTAAAACAACACATTATGAGCCCCCGAGATTCTTTGGCGTTCTTAAAAAAGGCTTGGAAGCATCGTGATTCTTTCATTATCTTAAAAAAAACACCAGAAACACCCGTGATTCTTTACACTTTCTTAAAAAAAACTCTGGGACCCTCTGAAATTCTTTCACATTAAAAAAAAAATATTAGAAGATCTTGAGATTCTTTAACATTCCTAAAAAAGACACTAGGAGATCTTGACATTCTTTAATATTCCTAAAAAAGACACTAATAATTCAGTCGTAGCTTAAGAAAAAAGTGACCCTTGAGTGTTCCTTTAATATTATTTAAAAAAAAAACCTAGGCGGATTCATGAATCACAAGTACAGGAGTATGTTATTTAAAAAAATTTAAATACCATTTAGCATGATTTTGAAGCGACTAAAAATAGCAATAAAAACGCCTCCAAAAAAACGTGACAAAAAATACGAAAGGATTTATGTAGCAAAATTAACGGCTCAGACGATTAACGTTTACATGTTTTAATTGAACTGGTAATTAAACGCATAATTGTGTTTTCGAGTCGTAATTACTCAGCAAAAAATTTATGAGAAATTTTGACTTAAATAAAATTCAGCGGCTGGCTCTTTATAAAAAATTGGCGGCGGCACATTTATATCGATAACCTTCGAATCGTCCCGTCAGTAACATCCAGCCGCCGCAATCATGAAAGCCAAAATAATCCTCTGCGTTGTGGTGCCACTGTTGGCCATAAACTTAGCCCGAAACCAAAACCTAACCACAATAAAAAATTTCGTCAGCAAATTTTTTGACAACGCCACCAACCAACATCCAGATATAGATGACAATATTGTAAGTCAAAAATATTACATAATTATGATAAACAAAAATAAAATATGGCTTCAGGTGGACATAATCGAGAGATACACCGGTGTGAGCGAGACACACCAAGTCCAAACTGAAGACGGCTACATTCTGACATTTTTCCGCATACCTAGACAAAACCCAAAAGGGGTAATTTTTCTGCAGCACCCTATATTCTTCGACGCGCGCTTATGGGTTAGCCAGTATAACGATTCCGTGGCCTTTTTCTTCTGGAAGGAAGGGTACGACGTGTGGTTGGGGAATACCAGAGGAAACTTGTTTTGTCAAGACCATGTAACTTTGACACCTTCGGACCCAAAGTTTTGGAATTTTAGGTAACTTGTAAGTGTGTGGTGTCTTGATAATGATTATAGTTTTCACGAAATGGGTTACTACGATAACCATGCTCTAATTGGGTACATTTATGGTCAAACTGGAGCGAAAGTGGTGTACGTGGGTTACTCGCTGGGTGCTAGTAACGGTTTGGTGTATGCTAGCAACCGAAGCGACGAAGCTTCCAAAACTACTAGACTCATGGTTGTTATGGCACCGGCTAGTCATATCAGACGGGGAACATCAGCTGCCAAATACACAGTGGCACCATTTTTGTATCTACAAAACAAATTAAATTTTCTGGATTTGCGTTCCACCATACTGAGACACGACATTTGGTATTTGAGAGTTTTGAGATCAACTTTTGCCCTTTTTCCATGCAAGAAGTGTATAGTTTATCTCACTTCCATATTTTCTGGGTGGACTCCTGATGTAATGGATCCTGTAAGTCGACACAGTAACAAATTCAAATTAACCACAGTCAGTAGGATTTGATAGACATGTCCGTACAACGGTTTGGTTCGGAAATCCCGCTCAAAATTTTGAACCACTTTTACCAAACTTACGTTTCTGGGGGTCACTTCCACTTGTATGACTACGGGGAGGAGGAAAATTTGGAGGTGTATGGGTTGAAGAAGCCGCCTTTGTACCCTTTGGGGGATATCAAAATCCCTGTTTTGATAGTGTATGGACAGAATGACAGCTTCGTTTGTCCTGATGTGAGTTCGGTTGTATTTTTTTTTGTTTTGTAATGACGAGGATTGCAGGATCATGAAGTTCTTTACAATTTGTTACCTAAAAAGTCAACAGCTTTTGGCAAAGTGATGATCGAAGGGTTCAACCACGCGGATTTTGTTAGTGGTCGAAGCAGGAACGAGAAAGTATACAGAAAAATGATCGAATTGTTAGAAAAAAATTAACTTGTTATTTGAAACTTTATTTTCTACTAGTATGAAGTAGCAACTAAGTAACTGTCAAACGTCGTCAAGGCTGCAATGATAATTCTTGAGTAATTTAAGTAACAATCTATGTTTTCAATTAGTCGTAACACTTGATTAAAAATAGGACAACCATTTTCTAAATAAACAGTCAAGTTTTGTTGGGTTTAAAGCAGTGACTAATATTTTGAAAATACCCATATTTGTCAAATAAAACAATAAAACGGTTCAAATTTGCATATTCAAATTTATAGTAGTAACACTTACCGCTGTCTAGTTGTATAACTTTACTCACAAAATGAAGGCTTTAAGCACACTGTATTACATTATACCATTATTGACGTTATATTTTTCCATGGAAAAAGTGAATATCTTTTCTCCGTTCAAAACTAATGACTGGCACCAAAATCCCGCTGGTATCGTAAGTAGATGCTAAACACCAGTACTTCAACTACTACACCCAATTTAGGTAAAAATAATCCAACGATATACTGGTGTTTGTGAAACCCATCACCTACAAACCGACGATGGTTACATTTTAACCATGTTCCAAATACCAAGACGAAACCCCAAAGGTGTGATCCTCCTCCAACACCCCATTTTCTTTGATTCTAGAATATGGGTCAGTCAATACAATAATTCCATCGCTTTCTTGTTTTGGAACGCAGGCTACGAAGTTTGGTTGGGAAACACCAGAGGAAACTTTTTTTCCAAGAAACATACAAACCTTTCATCCACAGATCCAGCCTTCTGGAATTTTACGTAAGTTTGGTGGTATAAGTCATTCCTAAATAGCAACTTCAGTTTTCACGAAATGGGTTATTACGACAACCACGCCACAATAGAGTACATTAAAAGAAACACGTCACAGTCAAAAATCATCTTTGTGGGGTATTCTATGGGTGGTACCTCTGGGTTCGTTTATGCTAGTACTAGACCAGAGGATGCCTCTAGATCAGTGAAAGTTATTATAACCATGGCTGCTGTTACTCACCTTTCTAGAGGGACTTCATTTTCCAAGTATATCGTGCCTCCGTTTTTTTTCTTGCAGGTTTGTCATTTCGTTGTCTCGAAAAGGTACTAATTCTAGATTTGTAGCGAAATTTAAAATTTGTGGACGCTTATTTCACGGTACTGCGATACGACTCTTGGTATTTGAGGCTAGTGCGATCTTTGTTTGCAGCTTTTCCTTGTCGGAAGTGTATTATTTATGCTAATGGATTAATATCTGGATGGACTCCAGATGAACTGGATCCTGTAAGTTTCACCACGGACCAAAAACACCAAATACGTGTTTTCGTAGGACTTGGTAGATGAGCTAATGCAAGTGTTTGGTTCTGAAGTTCCTCTTAAGATGTTCGATCATTATAATCAAATATATATATCTGGGGGGGAGTTTCGCATGTACGATTATGGAGAACGGGAAAATGTCCACCTGTATGGAACCAAAAAGCCGCCTTGGTACCCTCTGGAAGACATTAAAGTACCCATTTTTTTGATGTATGGTCAAAATGATAGCTTCATTTGTCCGAAGGTAAGACAGATTTAACTCTTTTGGAAAAGTACTACCGACGTTTTAGGACAACGAATACTTGTATGGTTTGTTACCTAGAAATTCTGCTTATGGAAAACTCTCAGTGGAAGGTTTTAATCATGCAGACTTTGGGTTCGGTCGTCACAGAATTGAAAAAGTCTATAAACAAATTCTTACAGTTCTCGAAAACTTCGAAGAATAAACACGGTTTTGGAGTAGCTTTTTAATACAGTTTGAACTTTGTCCAGCTTATCTCATCCTTGAATTTTATTTCCAGTGTAGATAATTCAAGGCTTTGTATATATTAAAGATTATTTTAGAACTTAGAACTATTTCTTATATTTCTTGGTATATTTCCATATTATGGGCTCTATCCCTATGATTTTTAAATTTAACTTTCTATAAAAAAATTAACTTAAGTACTTGACCTCTACTATCGATAGAATCAGAAACGTATTGTAAAAAACAAGCCAAATTATAATGTAGTCGTATAAAGGATAGTAATTTAAATCTATCTTTAACGTTTGTCCTCCACTCTGCGTTTCGTTTCTAGTTACGTATGTATACTTATCACAACCTTAGTGCATATTTTTACGTTAATTACACAAAGCACTTTATAGACAATTTGAAACTGATTATTTAGTGCACTCAATCATTTCGATTTTTCACATGGACGCTATCGTAACGAAAAAGTCTATTACAAAATTCTGCAATTCCTAGACAAAATTAATCTAGAAAGTTAAAATTGTCTGGGGCTACAGAAAACTTGAAATTTAGTTGTCGGTTGTGGTAATCTGTTGTTCTTTTAGCGAAGTGTACACTCTTCAATAAAATGTTTGATATCTATAGAAAAATTTCGAATTAAATTGTTTCTAATAACTCATTTTGTTATAAATATACACTTGTTCTAATCCCTCTTCATTGATTTGAAGTTTATTAGTATTTTAAGAACAAGTTAAATTATGTTTGTAAAATTTGGAACGTGTTAATTAGTTCTCGAAGTCATAAATATTTATGTACATGTTTCGCTACTATCTAGTATCATCATCAGAACTTAAATGATAAAATAAAAGTAAAGTAAACACTACTGAAGGCAGCTTTTCTCCGTAGTAATGATAGAACTAAAATGAGTGGATTGTAGTGAGACGTCCTCTAGCGGAAGAATTGGCAAACTATATTTAGAGCGGTCATCTAGCGGATAAGATCAGAACTTTTCTTGAATGAGTATGAATGTTACCTAGCGATAGTTAAGGCTTTGTTTCAGACAAAGTGGGAATCAAAATTTGTTTTTAGTTTTGAAATGTTGAAATTTAACTTTCTGAAAATTCTTGAAATAGATAGAGAAAGGGTACCAATGAAAGATAATGAAGGTACGATAAAAGCTGCTGTGGAACATAGACTAGGGATTTAGTTATGAGTAAGTTTGTACTTGTAGAGAAATTTAGTAAATATGTTCATAATTAAATATGTAGAGAAATTGTTAATTATTTTAGTCCTTTGTTTCGAGAAGACAAATTCATTCAAATGAAACTAATCTCTAAGTGATATTCTTTCGATGTATGCAAATAAACACTTGACGTTCAGATTGCTATTACTAGTCCTGAAGGACAAGCGTAAAACCAAATTTGATGTATTTTTTAAAGAGCTGGATTTTTTTGCTTACACAGGGTCACTCAAAAAAATTAATCAATCAATCAATTTATTTTATTGAATAAACCAAGAATTGCAAAACTGAATACTTTGAAATCTTGTTTCCGAATTAATTCTACCCAAATATGCAAAATATGATAAGTTTTTACTAGTAATTCATGTTTTTTAGATCTGTTTAAACAGGTATCTCTAAAAAATTAATGAATGAGTCAATTTATTTAATTGATGAAATCAGGAACGGCTCAACCCATTTTCCCAGACAACTTTGGGAATATAATACCGTTCTTTTTCAATTTCAATTTTACATTAGATAAGATAAGTCAAATGGAGAAATAAGATGGGCTAAGCTAAATTTAGCATTTTTCTAGTTTTATGAGCAAGCAGTAACCCCGCCCACCCACCCCTTACTACTCTTAATATTGTTCAGTCCTAGCTTAGCAAGTTTTAGCCCCGCCCACCCACCCTTTGTTTTCTTAGAGGGTGTGTCATTTACCAAAATCAGTCTTATGTTAGCAAATATTATCCCTCCCCCAAACGTTGTTCCCATTCTAACGATTTTATCTCTCTTCAATTGAGAACCACTATTTGGACTAGATAAAATGAATCACCCAAATAGAGGCAGGGTGGGTGGGCGGGGCTAAGTTTAACTTTTTCTTAAAGAATCTCTAATAAGCATGCAATAGCCCCGCCCACCCACCCTGTCTTCATTCCAGTGACTACTCTTAATATTCTTCAGTCATTTATCAAAACCAACCTTATCTTAACAAGGACTACCCCCCGCGCTCTATTTTTCTTAGAGGGTGTGTCGTTTGCCACAATCAGTCTTATCTTAGCAAGTTCTAACTAGTTATATACAGACACACTAGCATAAATTAACTGTGTTAAATGTCTAAACATCTAAATCTGGATTTAGCCTTCCACTTGGAGTTTTTAGATAGTTGCAACTAAAAAACTAATATCTTATCACTTTATCGAACTTATCGTAGACTTACTTATACATTTCAATGAGTACGTTGCATCTAATTGATAGTAAATAAATGCAGAAATGAAACGTGTCTTCTGGCTAATAATACCTCTCATAGTAGCCTTAATTTTTTCTCCTCAGAAACAAAACAACACTTGCAAGAGTTATCTAAGTTATTTCAATATATTTTTCAGCAGCGATTGTTACCATAACCCCGACCAAGACGACGACATTGTAAGTACCCACTAACATAGAAGTCTAAAAACAAAACATTTTTAGTTGGGTATTATCCAACGACACGTTGGAGTGCACGAAACTCACGAAGTCCAAACGGATGATGGTTATTTTTTGACGCTTTTTCGAATACCGCGCCAAAATCCTAGAGGGGTGATTTTTTTCCAACACCCTCTGACTACAGATGCACGAGTATGGGTTGGTCAGTATAACGAATCTGTTGCTTTCTTATTTTGGAGGGCGGGTTATGACGTTTGGTTGGGAAATATACGGGGGAGTCATTGTTGCAAGAAACATGTCAGTTTAGACCCTACAGAAGCTGCCTTTTGGAATTTTAGGTCAGTACTTCTATTATATCGTAGTTCTATGTTTCAACAAAAGTTCTTCAGTTTTCATGAAATAGGTTACTACGATAATCATGCCAGCATTGAATATGTTAAACAACAAACAGGTGGATCTAAAATCATCTATTTGGGGTACTCATTGGGTGGTACTAGTGGTATGGTGTATGCTAGCACTAGAGATAAAGAGGCAGCTGATTCTGTTAAAATGATGGTGGTAATCACCCCTACTACTCATCTTCAATTAAGTTGTACCAGTTTGTTGAAGTATCTACTCTTCATATCTTACAATTTACAAGTAGGAACTATTATTCAAGGAATGTCAGAATTCAAGACCACAGTTTTAGGGAGTCGTGAGTTTAGCAGATCCACTTTTTGTTTTCAATCAACAAGACGCTTGGTACGCGAAGATTGGGAGATTTCTGGTAACACATTTTCCGTGCAAGAAATGTATGTTATATTTCTCGTATTTGTTTGTTGGGTTTTCTGAAGATGCCTTCGAGCCAGTAAGACTAGTCTAGTTTAAAAACTCATCTGTTTGACAATTCTAGGACTTGATAAATATGTTCGTCCGAGTACATATGTCTGAATATCCTTTAAAAATGTTATACCATTACTATCAGATGTACGTTGTGGATGGAATATTTCAAAGGTATGACTATGGAGAGGAAACGAACCTACTACTATATGGTACCAAGGAACCAACATCGTACCCCTTGGAAAATATAAAAGTGCCTGTATATATCGTGTCCGGAGCCAATGATAATCTCGATTGTCCTAATGTAAGTCACTAATATCGTTTAAAACTTTGACAGGAAATAGTGTTTTAGGCAATTGAAAAACTATACAACTTGTTGCCGAAAAATTCCACCGCACATGGGAAACTGATGGTTGAAGGTTTCAATCATTTGGACTATGCATATGGACGCTACCGTAACGAAAAAGTCTATTTCAAGATCCTACAACTCCTCGACAAGATACATCTAGACGACCAAAATTGTCTACACTAAACGAGAAGCTGATATTTGTTTTGTAAAGTGTATATTCATTGGTTTTTGGACTTACCAGAAATAACCAAAGTATTTTGGGGAATTCCTTATCGTCTGACTCTTTATCAATGCATTTATATGCATTGAACCTTGTTGTATTTTGTTTGCACTGTTTCCGTGATTAACATAAATTATTCGTTAAATTCTATAGTCGAATTTATTCTTGTCATACACACGTAGCGTCTGTCCATGACTGTTTAATGTTTCTGTCTTTATTGTTGTTAATATCATTACTTTATTTTCTAAAACAATAGTTGGAAAGAGTTAAACTTCTTCAATTGAGAACCACTATTCGGACTAGAAAAAATGAATCACTGAAATGGAGACAGGGTGGGTGGGCGGGGCTAAGTTTAACTTTTTCTTACAGAATCTTCTATAAGCAATCAGTAACCCCGCCCACCCACCCTCTTTTCATTCCAATGATTACCCTTAATATTGTTCAGTCATTTACCAAAATCAATCTTATCTTAACTAGTACTTTTTGAAATGGATAGAGAAGGGGTACCAATAAAAGATAATGAAGGTAGGGTAAAAGTTGTTGTGGAACGTGGTTAAATTATGAGTAAATTTGTGTCTGTAGAGGGATTTGGTAAAAATTTTCATGATTAAATGTGTAGTTAATTTAAAGAAAATCCAAGACCAAATTTTAACTCAAAATCTACACAATTTACGGCGACCTGTCAGAAGTGCCAACTATGACAATAGCAGACTTTACTTCAGATTTTACGAGTACTTTAAGAAAAGAAGTAGAGACAGAAAAAATGATTCATATTTTAAGAATGGCAAACTAGGGAACTCACCTATACTTCGAGTTTTTAGTTAAGTTTGCACACTTAACATATATACATTTACACTGTCATTACCCCATGCATTTTAATGACCACGATGGGTCTAAATGAATACAATTTACTTAGTGGACTCCCATAAACCGAACAGTGCGCAAACTAATAGAAAAATGAAAACTGTGTTCTTGCTGGTCGTACCTCTAATGGTTGCTCTATTTTTTACACCCCAGATACAACGCAACAGTTGCAGAAGTTATTTTAGTTATTTCAATATATTTTTCAGCAGCGATTGTTATTATAATCCCGACCTAGACGACGACATTGTAAGTAAGCAGTAATATAGAGTGTCTAAAAAACAAACCATCTTTAGCTGGGTATTATCCAACGACACGTCGGAGTGCACGAAACTCACCAAGTTCAAACGGATGATGGTTATCTTTTGACGCTTTTTCGAATACCGCGCCAAAATCCTAAAGGTGTGATTTTTTTCCAACATAGTCTTTGTACAGATGCACGAATATGGATTAGTCAGTATAATGAATCCATTGCCTTTTTCTTCTGGAGAGCGGGTTATGACGTTTGGTTGGGAAATACACGTGGGAATTATTTTTGTAAGAAACACGTCAGTTTAAACCCAACGGAAGCCGCGTTTTGGAATTTTACGTCAGTACTACTACGCTATAGTGTATAGTATATAGTGTAGTTCAATTGATACTTTTTAGTTTTCACGAAATAGGATACTACGACAATCATGCGAGTATTGAGTATGTTAAACGACAAATAGGTGGGTGTAAAATCACCTACGTGGGATACTCGATGGGTGGTGCTAGTGGTATGGTGTATGCAAGCATCAGAGATAAAGATGCTGTTGATTCTGTTAAACTGATGGTGGTGATGTCTTCTAGTACTCAGCTTGGACTTGATTGTGCTGGTTTCTTAAAATATACACTCTTCATACCTTACAATTTACAAGTACAAAATGGTTATTCACGTGAAGTTAAATTTCTAGATGACACTTTTAGGGAATCGTGAGCTTTGCTGATCCACTTTTTGTTCTAAATCGACAAGACGTTTGGTACGTAAAAATTGCTAGATTTCTAGCAACACATTTTTCGTGCAAGAAATGTATGTTATTTATTTCGCATTTATTTACTGGGTTTTCTCAAGACGACTTAGTACCAGTAAGATCAACACCTTTTAAAACCTGAATTGACTGACAATTCTAGGACCTGATAAATATGTTTATACGAGTACATGGGTCTGAAATTCCTTTAAAAATCGTCTATCATTATTATCAAACGTATATTTCTGATGGACTGTTTCGAAGATATGACCATGGTGAGGCTAGGAACTTAGAAATATATGGTACCAAAGAACCAACACCGTACCCCTTGGAAAATATTAAAGTGCCTGTACATATTGTACACGGAGCAAATGATAATATAGATTGTCCAACTGTAAGTCACTTCTATCAGTTTGAAAGTTCGACGGGAATAATTTTTTTAGGCAAATGAAAAACTATATAACACGTTGTCGAAAAATTCCACCGTCTATGGGAAACTGATGGTCGAAGGTTTCAATCACTTCGACTTTTTATATGGGCGATATCGTAACGAAAAAGTCTATTCCAAAATTTTGCAAATCTTGGATGATATTAATCTAAAAGAATAACGTTGTGTGTATATTTTTGAATATAACCCATTTTGTTTCTTAATACGGATACTGTATATACAACAGATCCAGAAATAAATCTTTTAAAGAATTTTTTTACCTTGTTTTACATAATTTATAACCGCCCGTCACAAGTAACACTTAACACGGTCTATATCTTGTTGGGTTTTATCTGCACTCACTAACATACTGCGTTAATGGAATTAACTAGTAGATAGAATCATCAAGGGATTGGTTTGGTGTCCTACACACAAGGACTTTGTCCATGAGTTTTTATCATTTTAGAGTTAAGGTTTCAATTTTTATTATTATTTTTTTAAACTCTCCTCTGTCACACAGTGTACTTACCACAACCTACACAGCTCCTAAACAACCAGAAAAATGAAAAGAGTGTTTTCGCTAGCTTTACCTCTTATGGTTGCTCTAATTTTTGTTCCTCAGAAGCAACGCAACGCTTGTAGTAGTTACCTCAGTTATTTCAATATATTTTTTAGTAGTGATTGTTATTATAATCCCGACATAGATGTCCAAGTCTGGAAGAAATTGTTTTTGGGTAATTTTCGAAAATGGTCGAAAAAGTCTCTAAATTTTCATAAATCGGGGTAGGTAATGAAAAATTGAGCTTATGACAAAGTTGCCTAAAAATCCTCAACAGCTTCAGGGATACAGATCTCGACGTCCTGATTTCAAAAATATATTGTGTCTACGGTCCCGGAGCAACATGTTAGAAATATTCGGTTTGACATTTGATTTTTTTTTTAAATCTTAAAAAATTGTCTTATTTCAATTGGCAATTCGGGAAAGACGGTTGGAGGTATCGAAGAAATGACGCCGAAATTAACTACTGGATGTCTAAATTAATAAGAAAATGTTTTTAGATAATTTTGGAAAATGGTCGAAAAAGGCTCAAAATTTTCATAAAGGAGTATTGAAACACTGAGCTTTTGAAAAAGTTGCGTGAAAATCCGCAAAAAATTAGATCTCCATTTGCTGATTCGAAAAATATGACTTGTTTACAGTCCTGGAGTAACATTTCAGCAGTATTGGATTTTGAAATTATATGTATTAAAAAAAATGTTTTAAAATGCCATTTTTCAATTGGTGTTTCCGGAAAAATAGTAGGAGTTATCTAAAAAAAGGAGGTCCAAATTTACTTTTAAAGTGTGAACTCTACAAAAAAATGTCTTTTGATAATTTTCGAAAAGGTTCAAAATTTTCATAAGGGAGTATTGAAAAATTGAGCGTTGGAAAAAGTCAAGAATGTAGATCTCGACGTGCTGAGCCGAAAAATAGATTTTGTTTATATTCCCGGGGCAATATTTTAGAAATATTCAGTTTGAAATTTAATTTTTTTTTAATCTTGAAAAGTGTCATATTTCGACTGACGATTTCGGAAAAATGGTGGGAGTTGTAGAAGAAAGGAGGCCAAAATTTACTTCTGGAGGTTCAAGTCTAAACGAAATTGTATTTGGATAATTTTCGAAAATGGTCTAAAAAGATTCAAAATTTTCATAAAGACTATGCACCTACGTATTGAAAAATGGAGCTTTTGAAAAAGTTGCCCAAAAATTTTCAAAAAGTTCAGGGATGTAGATCTTGACGTGCTGATTCGAAAAATATAGCGTGTAACAGTCTAGGAGCAACATTTTACAAAATAGTCAGTGTGAAATTATTTTTTTTTTAAATTTTGAAATCCACCATATTTCAATTGACGATTCCGGAAAAACGGTGGGAGTTGTCGAAGAAAAAAGGCCGAAATTTACTTCTAGAGGTCGAAATCTACAAGAAAATGTCTTTAGATAAAGGTTCAAAATTTTCATAAGGGACTTGAAACAAAAAAAGCTTTTAGACAACTTGAAAAAGTTGTCTAAAAATTCGCAAAAAATTCAGGAATCTCAACGTGTCGAGTCGAAAAATATAGTGTGTTTACATTCCCGGAGCAACATTTGAAATATTCAGTTTGAAATCTATTTTTTTTTAATTGAAGAAAAGTGGCCAAAATTTACTTCTAGAGGTCCAAATCTGGAAGAGAATGTTTTTGGGTAATTTTCGAAAATGATCGAAAAAGATTCAAAATTTTCATAAAGTTGGGTATGTATTGAAAAATTGAGCTTTTGAGAAAGTTGCCCAAAATTCCTCAAAAAATTCAGGGACATAGATCTCGACGTGCTGATTGCAAAAATACAGCATGTCTGCGGTCCCGGTCCAACATTTTAGAAATATTTGATTTGACATTTAATTTTTTCAAAAATCTTAAAAAATTGCCTCATTTCAATTGGCGATTCGGGAAATCGTGGGAGTTATCGAAGAAATGAGGCCGAAATTAACTACTGGATGTCTAAATTTACAAGAAAATGTTATCGGTAATTTTGGAAAATTTTAAAAAACGGCTCAAAATTTTCAGAAAAAAATATTTAGGTTTTTGAAAAAGTTACCGGAAAATCCGCAAAAAATTCAGAGATGTAGATCTCGATGTGCTGAGTCGAAAAATCTAGTGTGTTTACTGTCCTGGAGTCACATTTTAGAAGTATTCGATTTTGAAATGAAATCAAAAAGAAATATTTTAAATTGCCATTTTTCAATTGGTGTTTCCAGAAAAATAGTAGGAGTTCTCTAATAAGAAAAGAGGTCCAAATTTCTTTTCAAGAAAATGTCTAGATAATTTTCGAAAAGGTTCAAAATTTTCATAAGGCAGTATTGAAAAACTGAGCTTTTGAAAAAGTTGTCTAAAAATCCCCAAAAAATTCATTGTGCCGAGTTGAAAAATATAGTGTTTAGATTCCCGGGGCAACATTTTGGAAATACATATTCAGTTTGAAATCAATTTTTTTTTTAATTTTGAAAACCGTGGTGAAAGTTGTCGAAGAAAAAAGGCCAAAATTCAGCTCTAGAGGTCCAAGTCTGGAAGAAAATGTCTTTGGGTAATTTTCCAAAATGGTCGAAAAAGATTCAAAATTTTCATAAAGGAATATTGAAAATTGAGCTTTTGAAAAATTTGCCTGAAAATCCTTAAAAAATTCTGGGATGTAGATCTCCATTTGCTGATTGAAAATATGGCTCGTTTATGGTCCTGGAGTAACATTTTAGAGGTATTTGATTTTGCAATTAAATTAAAAAAGAAAATGTTTTAAATTGCCATTTTTCAATTGGTGTTTCCAGAAAAATAGTAGGAGTTCTCTAAGAAAAGAGGTCCAAATTTACTTTTCAAGAAAATGTCTAGATAATTTTCGAAAAGGTTCAAAATTTTGATAAGGTAGTATTGAAAAACTGAGCTTTTGAAAAAGTTGTCTAAAAATCCCCAAAAAATTCATTGTGCCGAGTTGAAAAATATAGTGTTTAGATTCCCGGGGCAACATTTTGGAAATATATATTCAGTTTGAAATCAATTTTTTTTTAAATTTTGAAAACCGTGGTGGAAGTTGTCGAAGAAAAAAGGCCAAAATTCAGCTCTAGAGGTCCAAGTCTGGAAGAAAATGTCTTTGGGTAATTTTCCAAAATGGTCGAAAAAGATTCAAAATTTTCATAACGGAATATTGAAAATTGAGCTTTTGAAAAATTTGCCTGAAAATCCTTAAAAAATTCTGGCATGTAGATCTCCATTTGCTGATTGAAAATATGGCTCGTTTATGGTCCTGGAGTAACATTTTAGAGGTATTTGATTTTGCAATTAAATTAAAAAAAAAAAAATGTTTTAAATTGCCATTTTTCGATTGGTGTTTCCGGAAAAATAGTAGGAGTTATCTAAAGAAAGAGGTCCAAATTTACTATTGAAGGCTGAACTCTACAAGAAAATGTTTTTCGATAATTTTCGAAAAAGTTCAAAATTTTCATAAGGCAGTTTATTGAAAATTTGAGCTTTTGAAAAAAAAAAAAAAAATCAGGGATGTAGATCTCGACGTGCTGAGTCGAAAAATATAGTGTCTTTACAGTTCCGGAGCAACATTTTAGAAATATTTAGTTTGAAATAATTTTTTTTTAAATCTTGAAAAGTGTCATATTTCGACTGACGATTTCGGAAAAATGGTGGGAGTTGTAGAAGAAAGGAGGCCAAAATTTACTTCTGGAGGTTCAAGTCCAAAAGAAATTGTATTTGGATAATTTTCGAAAATGGTCTAAAAAGATTCAAAATTTTCATAAAGACTATGTACCTACTGTATTGAAAAATGGAGCTTTTGAAAAAGTTGCCCAAAAATTTTCAAAAAGTTCAGGGATGTAGATCTTGACGTGCTGATTCGAAAAATATAGCGTGTTACAGTCTAGGAGCAACATTTTACAAAATAGTCAGTTTGAAATTATTTTTTTTTTTAATTTTGAAATCCACCATATTTCAATTGACGATTCCGGAAAAACGGTGGGAGTTGTCGAAGAAAAAAGGCCGAAATTTACTTCTAGAGGTCGAAATCTACAAGAAAATGTAGATAAAGGTTCAAAATTTTCATAAGGGACTCTAGACAAAAAAAACTTTTAGACAACTTGAAAAAGTTGTCCAAAAATCCGCAAAAAATCCAGGAATCTCAACGTGTCGAGTCGAAAAATATAGTTTGAAATCTATTTTTTTTTTATTGAAGAAAAGTGGCCAAAATTTACTTCTAGAGGTCCAAGTCTGGAAGAGAATGTTTTTGGGTAATTTTCGAAAATGATCGAAAAAGATTCAAAATTTTCATAAAGTTGGGTATGTATTGAAAAACTGAGCTTTTGAGAAAGTTGCCCAAAATTCCTCAAAAAATTCAGGAACATAGATCTCGACGTGCTGATTCCAAAAATACAGCATGTCTGCGGTCCCGGACCAACATTTTAGAAATATTTGATTTGACATTTAATTTTTTCAAAAATCTAAAAAAATTGCCTCATTTCAATTGGCGATTCGGGAAATCGTGGGAGTTATCGAAGAAATGAGGCCGAAAATAACTACCGGATGTCTAAATTTACAAGAAAATGTTATCGGTAATTTTGGAAAATTTTAAAAAACGGCTCAAAATTTTCAGAAAAAGTATTTAAACATAGGTTTTTGAAAAAGTTACCGGAAAATCCACAAAACATTCA